TCATCTACCATAATTTACCATCATCAATAATCATCTACCATCATCTACCATCTATCATCATCTATCATCATCTACCATCATGTTATATCATGAGTCATCATCAATCATCATCTTACCTACAAAGCTCTCAACAACCTAGCTGTAATTAAAAGGTGAACTGTGTAAATTAGTTTGGATCAACAATTAGGCCTTTGTGTCTCTCATTCTGAGGTTGGTGACCCCTGCAGTAACCATGAGTCAGAGAGGGTGTTCTCATGAAGACCAGTGAGGGTCAGCAGCCTGAGGAACGCCATCTGGTGGTTGATTCTTGTACTACAACAAGAGCTGCACATTCTCAGGAGCTGTGTAATTTCTGATATTACAGTGTGGACACCTGCGGTTTATTTATGTACAAACTTGTGTTTATTTTAAACCGAGTGTGCACGGCTTATACTCTGGCGCTCTCTATAGATTGGAAATTATGGTACACCTGAGCTGGTCTCCTCCCAACAGGTGGGTGGAGTAAAGGAGCTTCCTGCAGACTGTTTTGTAGAAACTGAACTGTTCTGAGTTGGGGTTGATGGGGGTGGGCGGGGGTAGTTGTATTGGCTTGTCCAACCGGGGGGTTGACTAAAAGCGTAGGGACTCTCTCCGCAGAATAAAACGGTGGCCACACCTAACCAGGGCGTGTGGGACATGCGAGGGAAGCAGTTCTACGCCGGCATTGAGATCAAGGTGTGGGCCGTGGCTTGCTTCGCCCCCCAGAAACAGTGCCGGGAGGATCTGCTCAAGTGAGTCATCACCACGCCGAAGACGTGTTAGAGATGATGAACAAGCTGCAGGTCCATCTGCTCCTCACCAGCAGAGGACAGAGTCTGTCCCAAGAGGTCTTCACGGGTCTGTACTGGTTTCCAACAGGAGCTTCACAGACCAGCTCAGGAAGATCTCAAAGGATGCTGGGATGCCCATCCAGGGTCAACCGTGTTTCTGTAAATACGCGCAGGGAGCCGACAGCGTGGAGCCCATGTTCAAACACCTGAAGATGTCCTACGTGGGTCTGCAGCTGATCGTGGTCATCCTGCCTGGAAAAACGCCCGTCTACGGTAGAAACGGAGCGCTCCACTCTCCTCTGGCTGAGGAGCACGTGGCTCATGTTGGCTGTTTGTTTTGCAGCGGAGGTGAAGCGGGTCGGGGACACTCTCCTGGGCATGGCCACGCAGTGCGTCCAGGTGAAGAACGTGGTGAAGACGTCCCCTCAGACTCTGTCCAACCTCTGCCTGAAGATCAACGCCAAGCTGGGCGGCATCAACAACGTCCTGGTGCCTCACCAGAGGTCAGTCAGACGCCTGCAGCTCACATTCGCCTCGTCTCTGTGTCTTCTGTCCTTAAACAGTGTCTTTGTCTTCGTCCAGGCCCTCTGTGTTCCAGCAGCCCGTCATCTTCCTCGGTGCCGACGTCACTCATCCTCCGGCAGGAGACGGCAAGAAGCCGTCCATCGCTGCCGTGGTGGGCAGCATGGACGGCCACCCCAGCCGGTACTGTGCGACGGTGCGAGTCCAGACGTCCCGGCAGGACATGTCCCAGGTGGGATAAAGGCTGAAATAAGTCCTGCTGAGAGCGTCTGTCTTCTTGTTGACGTGCGTTTTGTCTCTGCAGGAGCAGCTGTTCAGCCAGGAGGTGATCCAAGACCTCACCAACATGGTGCGCGAGCTGCTCATCCAGTTCTACAAGTCGACCCGCTTCAAGCCTACACGCATCATCTATTACCGCGGCGGCGTGTCCGAGGGACAGATGAAACAGGTGGACGCCCCCGCTGCAGTCCTCGTCCCCACGGTCCTGTCTCCGCAGCAGGAAGCGTCGTCTTTAACGTGTTTGTGCTGCAGGTGGCATGGCCAGAGCTCATCGCCATCAGGAAGGCCTGCATCAGCCTGGAGGAGGACTACCGGCCCGGCATCACCTACATCGTGGTCCAGAAGCGCCACCACACCCGTCTGTTCTGCTCCGACAAGGCTGAGAGGGTTGGTTTGGGTCCATTGTGTCTGGGTTCTGTTGGTTCTGCCTGGCTCTCACGGTGCTGTGGCTGATCCTCAGGTGGGGAAGAGTGGGAACGTCCCGGCTGGCACCACGGTGGACAGCACCATCACGCACCCGTCAGAGTTCGACTTCTACCTGTGCAGCCACGCCGGCATCCAGGTGAGGCCAGACAGGAAGCTGCAGATTCAAAACAAACTCCTCCAAAATAAAACGCCTGTTGATGTTTTACAATCTGGTTCAGTTTTCAGGACGTTGACCGTAATCATCAGACAGCAGGTGTCTCTGCAGACAGACACACGAGGTGTTTCTGGAGGGCCTCGTCTGATTGGACGATAAAAAAACAAGGCGTCTGTGTTAACTACAGACATTTCATGTTTACGTTGTTAACTGGTTTAACATTAGTGACGTCTCCATAACTTCTCTTTCTGCCTCTTAACACAGAACTTCCTGTTACATTTCAAAATAAGAGCAACATAAATCTAAAAAAGTTAAATCTGGTCCTTTGAATGTTCAAAAAAAAAAAATGTAGAAACGTTTCGTCTCTCATCTGAAAGACTTCCTCAGTCTGAGGTGCTGTATTCAGCTCAGTCTCTTAAAAAGCACCTTCTCAGAGTGGATCAACCAGTTCAGATCAACCACTCAACCTCCTGTGAATAGTAAACAGCCATCAGGTGCTAATGATCCATTGTTAGGCTGATGGTCCTTCTTCAGCATGTGATCAGCTGGTTTTGGTTGTCAGCAGCAAACTGGTTGATCCACTCTGAGAAGGTGCTATTTAAGAGACTGAGCTGAATACAGCACCTCAGACTGAAGAAGTCCTTCAGATGAAGAGTCAGAGAGAGTCGGATTCTTTATTGTCATTTGCACCTCATGTGGTGGAGCGAAATTATGTACACAGGGTCCCAGTTACATCCAACAATAAAATGTAAAAGAAAAACAGTAATAACATCTAAGATATGAACTAAGAAATGCATCAACTAAATATACACTAAGCACTCATAACATAAAACATTGAACATCAGTCTGTGAGCAGATGTGCACGTATGAACACATCAACATTTAAACAGATCAGCAGCAACATTTAAACAGATCAGCAGCAACATGAAACAGATCAGCAGCAACATGAAACAGATCAGCAGCAACATGAAACAGATCAGCAGCAACATGATATGGTTTTTCACAGTGATTATTCTGGTTAGAGATTCATGAGTCTAACAGCCTCAGGGTAGAAGCTGTTCCTCAGTCTAGTGGTTCTACACTTAATGCTCCTCAACCTCCGTCCTGAGGGGAGTGGGGCAAAAAGTGTGTGTGCTGGGTGAGTGGGGTCCTTCATGATGCAGGTGGCCCTCTTCCTGCATCTGGAGGTGTAGATGTCTGTGATGGTGGGGAGACTGACTCCAACATCTTCTGTGCAGCCTTCACCACTCTCTGCAAAGCTTTTCTTTCTGCAGCTGTGCAGCCTCCATGCCACATGTTCAATATTGATATAAACAATATAAAAGCCTCAGAAAAACTGTACAAATAAATAAATGTTCACCTTTTATTTGTATTTAGTCTTCAAAACAAATTTGAAATCACTATGAAATAAACAGAAAACTCAACTTTGTCAATATTAATAGTTTTAACTTTAAACAACAACATACAGTAACTGAACAACCCAAGCTTGTACCCTGAGGCTGTTAGACTCATGAATCTCTAACCAGAAGAATCACA